TGAAAAGAGCAAGAGCACGTAGAACGCAATTTACCGGTAAATAAGATGCCTCTGACAGTGAGTTCTAGACCAGAGCGACGGAGCGCGTCGCGTTAAAACTCGAGCAATCTGCACAACTAGGTGAAGCAGCCGCAAAATCCAGGCAAACGCTTCTTTTCAGTGGTGCCGGCCCGTGCCAGACAGCAAACGTATCTCCTCCGGGGGGGTGAGTGGTTCATGCCGTAGCTAGAGTGAGGCGCCCCAGCAGCGGTTCTCACCTTGACGCCGGCGCCCCAGCAGCGGTTCTCACCCTGACGAGGGCGCCCCAGCAATGGTTCTCACCCTGACCCAGGCGCCCAGCAGCGGTTCTGACCCTGACGCAGGCGCCCCCGCAGCGGTTTCTCACCCTGACGAGGGCGCCCCAGCAGCGGTTCTCACCTTGACGTAGGTGCGCTCCGTGTCGATCAGTTCCGTGAGCACCTTGCGCAGCTTATCGGCGTCGCTCAGATGCCGGCTGGGACGTCATGTCTGGCTCTGGCTGGAGGCTATGCTGGGAGGTGGGCCGAGGGCCCGCGCGGTGGGGTCGGCCGGCGAGCGGCAGTAGCCCGTCACCAAGGTGGCGCTCTGCGGACGGCGCCAGGCCCGGTTAGCCGGCGGGACTAGCGCACGCCTCTGGCGCCCCATGGACTTCAACAGACGTTTCGAGACCCACCTTCGAACTACGCCCACACTGGCACGAATGGTCGGTGACTTCGCTCCGACGGAGGGTATTTCCGGCAAACATCTGCTCTCCAAATCCCCCCCGCGCGACCTCGCACACTATGACACATAAACACTGCATATCCAGGCCGGTCCCGGAGACGCCGTTCGTGTGGCGCCAAACCGTGCCAGGCAGGGTCTACAGCGGCCATTAGTTCGGCAGCCCATGGTTCGTTATGAGTAACTGATGCAAGATTTCACGGGACTGGGATTAGAACCTACCAAGCTCAGGACAAGTCTAATGTTCGCAATCCTGTGCAGGTATACTGGGCTGCGTAATACCCTACCCACATCTGGATCATGAACCGATTCTCTGCACATCCCGTACTGGGAGACGCGGCTCAGCCGCTATCAATAACGGTGGCCCTCCCTGGACGCGGCCTCGCCGCTCATCCAGCCCGGCATATCGAGCCCTCATGGCGCGCTCTTCTGCTGAGCTCAATGCCGGCGGCGCTAAACTGCAGCCGCCAGTTTAACGTCACACTGGCGGCCCGACATTCCCCGGCTATCGAGGAGATGCAGCGCCAATATTTCACAGGAGTTGCCCGTCATGGATGAGACGGGACGCTCCGGCGCAGACAAACTACACTCAAAATGCGACACGTGCCAGGCAAAGCCCTGGGACGGCCATCATACGGTGGGACGAGCAGATGGTGTTAAGGGGCCATGAAGTGGGTGAAAGATGGAGATATTTGAGCACCCGTCAGTGTTGTTCTTCTTGGCTTGCGCGTGTCATTTCGTGCGTAGAATCGCGATCACTTTTGTAACGAATACGTTCGAGAACATCCATGACTTCCCCAGATGTTAGAATAAACGCACCCTTCTTTTCCTGCCTTTCTTTTTGCACGGCTGCACATTATGACGCAATAACCACCCCCGACACGAAAGCTTCGTCGCTGATCATGGGGGGAGAGTCTGCGTCGGAAGTCCCGTCCTCCGCGGCCGCCGGCTCGCGCTCTGCGTACCTTGAGTAGATTCTCGATCTCGACAGACGAGACGTTGGAGCGGTCCGAGGTGTCCGAGGCGGCGGAGGGCAGCCCTCAATGTCCGCCTCTCTCGACCTGCAAGACAGCTACCATCAGCCCGACCGGGACGAGTGCATGACACGAGGCGCGGCGGCCGCCCTGCCCACGCCATCCAGCTATTCACGTCACGCGGTGAGCCCTCTCCGCCTGCGTAGCTCGGCGTCGCTGCCGGCGGCGGATAGGCTCCGGGCTCAGGCCCGCAGATAGGACCCGTCTCAGGTCAGCCAATTACCGCTCTGGTGCGGCGGGAGAGCTAAACGCGGGGCCTCGGGCGGCCGTCGGCGGAGATCGAGCGGCAGGAGAGCGGCTTACTCTCAGGACTTGACGCTGGGCACGATCATGTTGTTAATGTCCGTCGTCCCGGACGGCGTTGTCGGAGGGCGGCGGCGGGCACACCCAGGCGCTCGATGATGTCGTCCGTCGACTTCATCAGGTTGGCCACGTCCGGCACCTGCCGCAACGCAACAGTTGAGACGACCAGACAGGGCAGAATGGCACCCAGGGGTGAAAAGTGCCTTTTCTGTCACCCACGAAATTTGGAGCCGTCTGATTGTCGCCTGGGATCATCGTTTCAGAAACCGTTGCAATATGTCTTTAAATGCAATTAATCACAAAAACAAAGGCAAATTAAATGCAATGCGGTATAAACCAAACATTTTCTTTTCCAGAACTCCTTTGCACTGGTCTGTATGGCGGCACTGATATAGTATATTTGAAGTATGTTTCTGGCACCTGCTAAAACTAGCTTGATTAAAGTACCATGTTTGGCAGCATCTTATGGCTCAACTTGCTCAAACAGCGAAACATCAACGCTTCGACATGTGCTCACGCTGCAAGCGTTAGCGAGTACAGACCAATACTAAGCCTTGAGTTTTCGTCGAGCTGGGATAATCTGCTGTAATGTGGTCTTGTCTGCTGAAATATGTTTTCATGTTGACAATTTTGTCACCAATTGGTTCGCAAAAGTGTTATGTCATCAATCATATGCGGTAAATCAGAAACTTTTTCACCCCTGGTGGCAGCAGCCGAAGCGCTGGGGCATGCTGTGAAAACAAACTACAAATGGATTAGTTCCTTCACTTCAGCAATTGGCATCCAGCAGCTTCGCACGAGTTATAGTGTTATGCATCAAAGGCGATTAGATTTCCCAAAGACAGATTGCTACTCAGCCGTGCGCCAGAGCTCCGACTGCAATCACCATCAACACACAGCACGACCAACACAACATAGCGTGCCCGATCATGATTTGAAGCCGTCGGGAAGGTGATGCATAATACACACCACCTCGGACTGTGCGTGCCTGCACACGATGAGCCCACATGCAATGGCTGTCAGAAGCAGAGGATTTAACAGAGGCGGAGGTGCGGAAAGCTAGCGTAGAGTGATCCCATGACACCGACTTCCCAGACAAACCGATCTTTACATGAACTCCATGCTAAACACGAGTTTCTGTGAAACCGTCTGAAGCTGGCATACCAGCAAGGAGACACGGGACAGAGACACAAATAAAGCGCAGTGTCCGTTTGTGCTCGCGAACACAAATAAAAAATCTGCCCACTAACCTATGGCATTTGATTGAAATCCTACACACTAGCATTTGACATCAAGAAAAACAAATACTGTGCGATCGTACTTCGACAACTAGACGCGTGTTTTTGCCCCGCACACGAGCCTACGGGCCTGCGGGGGCGGCGGCAGCCCAAGGTCTCACCTCGGTCCTCGAGGAGCGCATCATGAGACAGAGGGCCAGCTCCTCCTGCAGCACCGACTCCAGGTACATCATGTCCAGATCGGACACGATCGCGCCATTGATCACCATGATCTCGTCACCCCGTATGAGGCCTGCGGACACGGCACAGATGCTTAGATCATGGGAGGTGGGGAGGAGGGCACACATCGACCGCTCATCGGCGACCGAAGTGGCGGCGGACCACAGGGGTCTGGAGGCGCTGGCGACAGGGAGGCAGGTGCTCTGGACAGAGTGGAATCATTGCGGAGAGGGGACGCTCCTGGTGGGGAGTGTGGCGCTGG